TTGTTCTAGTTCTATGAAAAATGCTGCTTGTAGTTTATTGGGGATTGTATTGAATCTATAGATTGGTTTTGGTAGTATGGACATTTTAACAATATTTGTTCTCAGAGTCCATGAGCATGGAATATCGTCCCATTTGTTTGTGTCATCATCAATTTCCTTCATCAGTGTTTTATAGTTTACAGGTCTTTCTTTCCTTAGTTAATTTTATTTGTAAGTACTTTATTATTTTTGGTGCAATTGCAAGTGGAATTGTTTTTTTTAATTTTTTTTCTGCTTCTTCATTATTAGTATATAGAAATACAACAGATTTTTATATATTCTGTATTTTACAAAATTACTCAATTCATTTATTAGTTCTAATAGTTTTTAAGTGGAGTCTTCAGGGTTTTCTATATATAGTACCATGTCAACTACAAATAGTGAAAGTTTTACTTCTCTCTTACCAGTTTGGATGCCTTTTATTTCTTTTTGTTTTGTGCTTGCTATGGCTAGGACTTCCAATCCTATGTTTAGTAAGAGAAATGAGAGTGGACATCCTTGTCTTATTCTTGATCTTAGAAGAAAAGCTCTCAATTTTTTACAATTAAGGATGATGTTAGCTGTGGGATTTTTTTGTATATGGCCTTTATTATGTTGAGGTATGTTCCATCTAAACATACTTTGTTGAGGATTTTTATCATGAAATCATGATTGTATGTAGTACTTTGGCAAATTCTTTTTCTGCATCTGTTGAAATTATCATTTTTTTTTTTTTTTTACCCTTTCTCTTGTTGATGTGATGGGTCACATTGATGGATTTGCAAATGTTGATTTGCCCTTGCATCCCAGGAATAAATTCTACTTCATCATGGTGAATGATTTTAATGTATTTTTGGATCCAGTTTGCTAATATTTTATTGAAGGCTTTTTACATTTTTGTTCACTGAAGATACTGGCCTGTAGTTCTTTTTATTTTGTAGTGTCTTTATCTGGTTTTGTTTAAGGGTAACACTAGCCTCTTAGAATGAATTTGGAAGATTTGCTTCCTCTTTTGCTTTTTGGAACAATTTGAGAGGAGTAGGTATTAACTCTTCTTTAAGCATTTGGTAGAAATTACCTGTGAAGCCATCTGGTCCTGAACCTTTGTTGGTATTTTTGATTATTTGTTCACTGTCTTTCCTGGTAATTCGTTGTTGGCATTTTCTATTTATTCATGATTCAGTTTGGGGAGGTTACATGTTTCTAGGAATTAATCCATTTCTTCTAGGTTGTCTAATTTCTTGGCATGTAATTTTTCATATTTTTTTATAATCCTTCATATTTCTGTGTTGTTCATTTATTATCTCTTTCCTTTCATTTCTGAGTTTACTTGAATCCTCTCTCTCTTTTTCATTTTAATAAGTTTGGCTAAAGGACTGCTTTAATATATTTCTTGAAGTTAATGTTCCAGACTTTGTTTTTTTTCTTCAGTCAGTTGAGCATCTCTCTTTTGTTTTAAAGTTTTTTTAATGTTTAATTATTTTTGAGAGACGGAGGGACAGAGTGCAAGTGGGGGGGGGGGCAGAGAGAGAGAGGGAGACAAAGAATCCAAAGCAGTCTGTAGGCTCCTAGCTGTCAGCGCCTGACATGGGGTTCTAACCCACAAACTGTGAGATCATGACCTGGGATGAAGTTAGATGCTTAACTGACTGAACCACCCAGGCACCCCATAATGTTCCAGACTTTAGTTTGTATTTCAGTCTCTACCAATTCATCAAGTGATTTTTTTCATTTAATAAACTTTTAATTTTGATAATTTTATAAAGTTTAATTTGAATGCTATCTAGTCCCTTAAGTGATTTTATTATATTTGGTAGAAACTTCCTGTTCTTTTCTGGTCTTTTTATCAAAACTTATTGACAATGTTTTTTTCGTGTTATATTTCTTGCAACTTTCATGGCGTGGGGGCCTGACCCAGCTTCTGGGCTACTTAAAAAATTACACAGATGGTAGAATTTTCTTCTCATTGTAGCTAGTAGATATTACCAAGCCTATTGTCAATATCTCATAAAGATGACACAAGATCCTTATCATGTTTCCTGCTGCCACTTTCCTATACTTAGTATTAGAGATAATGAAGTTTGGCTTGTGAGGCCTCTTCAGTAATGTGGCACTAGACAAAAGAGAAACATTCCTTCTAGTTTGGGTGATCTTTTCTCAAGGGTGTCATTTTAGACTGGTGATCTAAATACTCCCCAGAATCCATTGACAATGTTCTTCAGCATCCCCTCCTGATCAAAAAGGAGTTCAGTAACATTTCTCTCCTTCAGAACTCCAAACAGAACCTTGAAGCTTCACTCGTACATTCTTGCACTACCTGCCTTCTGAGGCCAGCCTTGGCTTGGCTTAGAAGAGGCAATAGTTTGGATTTGGCAGTAGAAGGATGCTAAAGTGTCATTTTTCTAGAATCTTCTTCAAACTTCTTTTAAATTTATCCTTTGATAGATTATATCTCTATGTATATATATCATCTTTATCTATATTTATATCATCTATATCTATAGATACTTTTGGTATTATTAGTATATATAGTATCATAGATTTATATAGATATAAAACAATGAGAAGCTCTCCATAATCAAATGATATATCTCTACGATGAGACAAAGAACTTCTCATTGTCTTTTCTTTACTTAGAATCTCTAACATTTATTGTTTCCCATGCTATTGTACTGTTTGTGTTTGTTTTGTGATTCTCAAATACCTTTGTTTTTTCTAATAGCAATATTATTATAATGGAAGATTAAAAAGAGATCTTTATATGAAGAGTATGCATAAGACTTTTACTCTTGTTTGCATCCATTTGATGTATATTTTCTGAGGTGTAATAAAAAAAAAGTTTTATTCCCCTTGACTTTTTGATAGTAACAAAATATTTGATAAAGTTTTTTAGTTTTCAGGTTTATTCATACAAAAAATAATTAAAATTAACCTTAGAAATAGTATTTTCAGGGGCACCTGGGTGGCTTAGTCAGTTAAGCGTCCGGCTTTCGCTTAGGTCATGATCTCGCGGTTTGTGGGTTCGAGCCCCGCGTCGGGCTCTGTGCTGACTGCCAGCTCAGAGCCTGGAGCCTGTTTCAGTCTGTGACTCCCTCTCTCTCTGAGCCTCCCCTGCTCACGCTGTCTCTCTCTCTCTCTCTCTCCTAGAAATAAATAAAAATATTAAAAAAAAAAAAAGAAATAGTATTTTCATTGTAAACATTTTAAAGATTTGTATGGGTTAATATCTTCATAGGTAATATGTTACTGAAATAGAATTTGTTTTGTTAAATACAGACATGTGATCCAAGTAAAACTTATGATCTCTACCGTGTTTTGCAAATTGAAGAATTGCCTGTTAGAGTCTAAATACTTACCCTTTAACATGTAAATTTATCCTGTCTGAGAGAAATTGACTGGCCATGAACACCATTTTTGAAGGTTATGAGTTGAAAATAAAGCCAATAATTTATCTAAAGCTAATAAATGAGTTGAGCAATTTCTAACTCTAGTTGTCTCTGAGAGATTATTTTTAGAACTATGCAATAGGAAAAGGTTTTCTTCTTTGAGAAGTTGAAATGTGTTTTATTGACAATGAGCAGTTTTATAGCTTAGAATATTTTCCTTTCTCTTTGGTCAGTGAGGAGCTATGATCCAAAGTATGGGTTAACTCTAGAAATCTTGTTGGCCTTTAGGTCATGTACATTTGTTTACTATGACTTCTCTCATCCCGTTGCACTTCCTTTCCCCCATACCATTTTTTACTTTGATTTCGTAGTTGACTATACTTTTCTTGATGTTGGTTTCCTATATGTTGAGGAATTAGAGATTATGAAAGCTAACTAAATAGACAAGTAAAGTAGTTTTTGAAAAGCAAAAATAAAAATAAATTATGGCTTAGCATTTTTACCTATAAGTTGTACTTTATCTATTACAAGCATTAAATGAAACTTCAAGGATGTATTAAGAGTTGAAAGATTTTAGAACAGGTAGGAAACATTTCATCAGTCTTTGCTGGCAGATTTCTGGTTAGATGTCTGTCAGGTAAAGAATGCCTGATAAGGTGCTATAGATAAAGTCTAAAGTCAGGGTTTTAGATTTATTGACAAATTACCCCCAAACAAACAAATGAAAAAAAATCATTGACAATCATTTCATTGTTTTTGCTATGGATTTTTTTTTCCTATTGGGACATACACAATGTATTTCCATGTATTTCTATCTAACAGGTACATTGTAAGAAGATAAATGAAATAAATCATATTCTTCTAGGCTTTGTTCATCTCAATGCTAGGTAATTCTGTCTTCATAGATATTGAACTACTTTTGACTATTAATCCCTTACAGTTAAGAAAAGATGATCTTTCTAAATTCAAATTTAAATCATGTAAGTTTTATGCTTAAAATTATTTACTGTAACTTTCATACATAATTTAAGATGCAGACGTTTTATAGTATAAAGTCTTCCATTAGTGGGTACTTGCTATCTGTCTGGGTTAATTTCTGAAACTCTCTTCAACAAACCTTGTAATCCAACAATAACAAATTATGTGCCATTCCCAATACACAGCACATTCTGTCTTACTTTACAAAAAAAAAAAAATGTCGTATTGTCATCTGGAAGTGTCTTTCGTACAACCTGGTATACCCATCCTTAGCTCATAGGAACAAATATTTGGAATTTCATAGGAAATATCAGTTGTCTGTGTTTTTCTGCTACTGTAATTCTATGTGCATGTCAGGAAATGGTTGATGACCCAAATGTGTGTTACCCTACTCCTACATTATTATAAAGTAACTTCAGTCTCCTTGCCTTCCATGACTTGTTTAAGGTTGCAGTAGATGTTAATGTAATGCATAAATTTTTAGTTGCCTTGAATATAGATACATATAAGGCAAACATTATCAGAAAAAAGATGTTCTCAGCTACAAGAGAGCGTGGGGGAAGAGGAGGAATGTTACAGCAAGAGCATGGGTGAGAACATATCTTCCTTTTTTTTTTTTTTTTTTGGGAATGCAACAACTTTATTGAAAGAAAAGTGCAATGAATTTGGTCGGAGCTTATAGGGGGGTCTTAGACACCTCCCCTCAAGTGCAGGACCAGGTGCAGAGTGGACTCCTTCTGGATGTTGTAGTCAGACAGGATGCGCCCGTCTTCTAGCTGTTTCCCAGCAAAGATCAGCCTCTGCTGGTCAGGGGGGATGCCCTCTTTGTCCTGGATCTTGGCCTTGATGTTCTCGATGGTGTCACTGGGCTCTACCTCCAAGGTGATGGTCTTGCCTGTCAAGGTCTTCACGAAGATCTGCATGCCCCCTCTGAGGGGGCACAGTATATAACAAATGAAGGCCCAGGAAAAATTACCACTATTGCGGTGCCCCTAGAAGGGACAGAAAATGAACAACAGGGAACCTGTATAAAGTCAGTGGAATCAGAATTAGAAGAATACGGATGGAGATGTACATTTTGATTATTGTTTTTGTAACATGGACCACTCGTCCCTAAACACAGTTTTGATGCTATGACTTGGAAACAACACTAACAAATGCCATAGACAAGATGAATCTAAAAAGATTGGATTTTTATGCACATAGAGATGGTCTTATTACTTGGGGAAATGCAATAGGAAAGAGACTCAACTTACCCTATGATAGTTCTTATCATTTTGTATTAAAATTAATAGTTTGCATCTCTCCTTATATGATTCCTTTAGGGAGAATGCCTCGACTATTTTTACATCCTTAGAATCTTATGTAATATTGAAATGCTGAGTGAATGTATGTATGTCTGAGAGAATAAATAATAGTTGAATAAAGGCATGCATTAGTCATTGTTTCTGTCAGTGGAAAGAAAAAATATTAATGTTTGCTAAGAACTGAAGCACATGGAGTATTTAACTATTAGATTGCACTGTAGAAGGGATGTGGATCCCATTCAGAAAAGCAGAATTTAACATAGCATAGAATAATCAATAAGATAATATAAGGATAGATATTTCATATTATCAAGACACTGATACTTCTCCATCAATTGAAATGGTATTTGGGACTTCTGTGCAGCTTGAAACATAGCTACTAAGCTACTATTAAAATTCCATCATGTTATCTGGAAAGGAAAATTCACGTTAAGTATTAGATGCTGGGTTGATAATTTAGTTTCATCATACTGAGCAACGTGCATAAATAAAATTCCTTTCTCTGTCATATGCATAAACTGCTTATGCTAAAAGCACATGAAGAATAAAAGTGCTATTAATTATAGGCTGCATTAATGTCACTGTAAAATCTCAGAGAATTTTGTCTTATTTAAACTAGTTTATTATTTTTTAATGATCTCTATTGTGAGTATGAATTCAGACCTCTTACTGAACGTACTGATTTAGAGGACTAAAGTGATGATGTTAAACATGGCACACGCTTAAATCTCTTTGTGTAAAGTCATTCTTTGTAACCACAATATTAGCTTTTGGCAAAAATGGCATTCTTTTCAGTTAGTGCTTTGTTTTAAAATTGATATCTAGATAACCAAAGTAATTATCTCACTGTTTAATATATTATAAACTTTGCAAGTAGTCTACCTTAATTTCATGTTCTGATTGCTTTTTAAATTATTATTGAAGTATAGTTGACATGTAATGCTATATTAGTTTCAGGTTTACAACATAGAGATTTGGCAAGTCTATACATTATACAAGCTTGCCATGATAAGTAGAGTCACCATCTATTTTCATATGCTAAGTAGGATAATGCTGAGATTACATTATCTCACTGGGAAATGTAGTATATTAGCTGGGAGTTACAGGACCAGCCAAACTGTTCACGAGTCACATGCCAGTAATGCTGTTTGTTTCTGTTTTCTTTTTTTTTCTTTTTTTAATGTTTTTATTTATTTCTGAGAGAGAAAGAGACGAGACAGCGTGAGCATGGGAGGGGCAGAGGGAGAGGGAGATGCAGAATCTGAAACATGCTCCAGGCTCTGAGCTAGCCATCAGCACAGAGTCCAATGCGGGGCTCGAACCCAAGAACTGTGAGATCATCACCTGCCAAAGTCTGACGCTTAACCGACTGAGCCACCCAGGCGCCCCAATGCTGTTTGTTTCTTAAAGAGTCTCTAACTAAAGCAAAATTAACATTAAAAACATTTTTTAATGTTTGTTTATTTTGAGAGAGAGAGAGTGTATGTGTGTGTATGTGTGAGTGAGGGAGGGGTAGAGAGGGAGGGAGACACAGAATCCCAAGCAGGCTCAAGGATCTGAGCTGTCTGCACAGAGCCTGATATGGGGCTTAAACTCAGGAACTGTGAGATTATGACCTGAGCCGAAGTCTGATGCTTAACCTACTGAACCATGCAGGTGTCCCAAAATTAATATTTTAAAATTAATCTCACAACAAATATTCCTTTATATAAAAAATTGGAGAAATGGATTGTCATCTTAATGATGCACATTAGAAGCACATTTAATTGTAGTGTGATTGTGAAAGTAGTTACACTGAAGTTATTTTCTATGAGAAAATAAAATAAAGAGAACAGCTTTCATATACAGATGAAATGATTTCTTTAATCTTTATTCTAATTTTACTATGAATATAGAGTAATAACATTTGCTTCTTTAATTATTATAACTCTTCTTTTGATTACGATATGCTTTAAAAGAAAGGCACTGGTTTCTATTTTTTTTTTTAAATCTTAACTATGAAAATATCCAAACATATATTAAGTAGAGAAAATATTTAATAAACACATATATACTTAAAACATATTTAATACCTATTAACATTTAGGCTTATTTTGCTATTTTTT